CCTCTTTTCCTCCTTTCCTCCTTTCCTCTTTCCTCCTTTCCTCCTTCCTTCCTTCCCTCCTTCCCTCCTTTCCTCTTTTCCTCCTTTCCCCTTTTCTCCTTTCTCCTTTCCTTCTTCATTTCTTCCCTCCTTTCCTCCATTCTCCCTTCCCTCCTTTCCTCTTTTCCTCCTTTCTCCTTTCCTCCTTTCCTCCTTTCCTTTTTCCTCTTTCCTCCTTTCCCCCTTTCCTCCTTTACTCTTACTCTTTTCCTCCTTCCCTCCTTTCCCCTTTCCTCCTTTCTGCCTTTCCTCTTTCCTCCTTTCTTCCTTTCCCCCATTCCCCCTCTCCCCTTCTCCCCCATTTCCCCATCCCCGCTGGAGTTCCCGGCTTCCCAGGCAGGAGGAGCCACTCGTGTCCCCAGCACCCCCCGATGCCGAATGTGCCACTCCGGGCCTTCCCAAGGGAATCATCCCCGCGGTATCCCGGGATGTTCGGCATCCTCAAACCCCTGCAATTCCCGGCCTTCCCAAGGGAATCATCCCCGCGGTATCCCGGGATGTTCGGCATCCTCAAACCCCTGCAATTCCCGGCCTTCCCAAGGGAATCATCCCCGCGGTATCCCGGGATGTTCGGCATCCTCAAACCCCTGCAATTCCCGGCCTTCCCAAGGGAATCATCCCCGCGGTATCCCGGGATGTTCGGCATCCTCAAATCCCTGCAAAGGTGACAGGAGCACAAGCGCCGCTCCACGGCGGGTCCTGGATGTGCTCTCCACCTCTCCGGAGCTCTGTGCCCACCTCTCCAGCTCTGTCCCCACCTCTCCGTGTCCCCAGCTCTGTCCCCATCGCTCCGTGTCCCCATCTCTCTGTGTCCCCACCTCTCCGTGTCCCCAGTCCTGTCCCCACCGCTCCAGCTCTGTCCCTGCGCCTCCCCTGATCCCCTCCCACCTCTCCCTCCTCCCCTTCTCCATCACCCGTGTCTGCACCCCTTCAGCTCTGCACCTTTCCTTGGCTCCGGAATTCTGCCTCCATCTCTCCATCATCCCTCCATCTGTCCATCCCTCCATCCCTCCATCTCTCCATTTTAGCATTTCTCCACCTGTCTTCTCACCTCTCTGTGTCTCCATCTCTCCCCTCTCCACATCTTCACCTCTCCGTGTCCCCACAAGTCCCCCCGCTCCTCCTCTCCTCCTCTCCATCTCTCCATTTCAGCACCTCTCCATCTCCCTCCACCTCTCCATCTCCCTCCACATCTCCTTCTCCCTCCACCTCTCCATCTCCCTCCACCTCTCCATCTCCCTCCACATTCCCACAACTCCACATCTCCGCATCTCCTGTCCCCACCTCTCCACCTCCCTCTCTTCCCGATTCCATCTCTCCATGTTTCCATCTCTCCATTTCACTCTCTCTCCATCTCTGTGTCCGTCTCTGCTCTCCACGGGTCCATCTCTCTCTCCACCTCCCCCATCTCCCCATCTCCCCGTCTCCACATCTCCCTGTTCCAGTCTCTGCCCCTCTCCTCTCCCCCTCTCTCCTCTCTCCTCCGTCCTTCTCCTCTCCTCTCCTCTCCTCTCTCCT